GGCCCAAAGCGCTCCGAGCTGCGGAGCTCCGCGGGAAAAGAGCTCCAAGTGCGGAGCTCAGCGGGAAAAGAGCTCCGGGATTGGCCCAAAGCGGGGAGCTCCGCGGGAAAAGCGCTCCGAGCTGTGGAGCTCCGCGGGAGAAGCATTCCAAGCGCGGAGCTCCGCGGGAAAAGAGCTCCGAGTTCCGAGAGCGGCCCAAAGTGCGGAGCTCCACAGGGAAAGAGCTCCAAGTGCGGAGCTCTGCGGGAAAACCACTCCGAGTGCGGAGCTCCGCGAGAAAAGAGCTCCGGGAGTGGCCCAAAACGCGGAGCTCCGCGGGAAAAGAGCTCCGAGGAGCGACCCAAAGTGCGGAGCTCCGTGGGGAAAGAGCTCCGAGCTCCGGGAGCGGCCCAAAGCGCGGAGCTCCACGGGGAAAGAGCTCCAAGTGCGGAGCTCCGAAGAAAATGCGCTCCAAGCGCGGAGCTCCGCGGGAGAAGCGCTCCGGGAGTGGCCCAAAGTGCGGAGCTCTGCGGGAAAAGCGCTCTGAGAGCTGCGGAGCTCTGAGGGAAAAGCGCTCCGAGTGCGGAGCTCCACGGGAAAAGAGCTCCGAGGAACGGCCCAAAGCTGCGGAGCTCCGCGGGAAAAGAGCTCCAGGAGCGACCCAAAACTCGGAGCTCCGCGGGAAAAGAGCTCCGAGATCGGCCCAAAGCGCGGAGCTCCGAGGAACGGCCCAAAACTCGGAGCTCCGCGAGAAAAGAGCTCCGAGGAACGGCCCAACTCCGCTCCCCCAAAACGCAATTAGGGGGCGCCGCTAATTAAGCGGCGGCGGTAATTAACGCCGCGGCCGCCTCATCGAAATTCTCATCAGCGCCGCTTCGCCGGCGCCTCATTCATATGCAAATGAGCTCTAAATAGGCTAATTAAGGATGGGACTCGTTCGGCTTAACCCGATGAGAACCGCGGAAAGAGTGAAGGGGAAATTCGCATTTAATTATCCCAAAAATTCCATTAATTATCCCAAAAATTCATTATTAATCATCTAAATATTACCTATTAATTATCCCAAAATTCCCTATTAATTATCCCAAATATTCCCCATAATTATCCCAAAAATTCCCATTTAATTATCCCAAAATTCCCATTAATTATCCCAAAAATTCCCAATTAATTATCCCAAAATTCCCAATTAATTATCCCAAAAATCCCATTAATTATCCCAAAAATTCCCATTTAATTATCCCAAAAATTCCCACTTAATAATCCCAAAAATTCCTTATTAATTATCCCAAAATTCCCTCTTAATTATCCCAAAAATTCCTAATTAATCATCCAAAAATTCCCTATTAATTACCCAAAAATTCCCTTTTAATTATCCCAAAATTCCCATTTAATTATCCCAAAAATTCCCTATTAATAATCCCAAAAATTCCCATTTAATTATCCCAAAAATTCCCTTAATAATCCCAAAATTCCCATTTAATTATCCCAAAATTTTTCCTTTTTATTCCCATTTTTTTTTCCCTTTTTAATCCCAATTTTTTCCCTTTTTAATCCCATTTTTTTCCTCTTTAATCCCATTTTTTTCCCTTTTTTTTTCCATTTTTTTTCCTTTTTAATCCCATTTTTTTCCTCTTTATTCCCATTTTTTCCCCTTTTTATTCCCAATTTTTTTTCCTTTTTAATCCAAAATTTTCCCATTTTTTTCCATTTTTTTCTTCATTTTAATCCCATTTTTTCTTCATTTTAATCCCATTTTTTTCCCTTTTTAATCCCATTTTTTTCCCTTTTTTCCCATTTTTTTCCTTTTTAATCCCATTTTTTTCCCTTTTTAACCCAAATTTTTCCCATTTTAATCCCATTTTTTTCCTTTTAAATCCCAATTTTTCCTCTTTTTTAATCCCAATTTTTTTTCTCTTTATTCCCATTTTTTTTCCTTTTTAATCCAAATTTTTCCCTTTTTAATCCCATTTTTTCCCTTTTTATTCCCAATTTTTTTCATTTTTAATCCCATTTTTCCTCATTTTTAATCCCATTTTTTTCCCTTTTTAATCCCATTTTTATTCCCGTTTTTTTCCTTTTTAATCCCATTTTTTCCCTTTTTATCCCATTTTTTCCTTTTTAATCCCATTTTTCTCCTTTTTAATCCCAATTTTTCCTCATTTTTAATCCCTTTTTTTTCTTATTAATCCCAATTTTTTTCCTTTTTAGTCCCAATTTTTTTCCTTTTTAGTCCCATTTTTCCTCATTTTTAATCCCATTTTTTTCCTTTTTAATCCCAATTTTTTCTCCTTTTTATTCCCATTTTTTCCCTTTTTATTCCCAATTTTTCCTCATTTTTAATCCCATTTTTCCTCATTTTTTTCCATTTTTTCCCTTTTTAATCCCAATTTTTTTTCCTTTTTAATCCCATTTTTTCCCTTTTTTAATCCCATTTTTTTCCTTTTTTATCCCAAATTTTCCTCTTTTTTAATCCTTTTTTTTTCCTTTTTAATCCCATTTTTTTCCTTTTTAATCCCCATTTTTTTCCTTTTTAATCCAAATTTTTCCCCTTTTTTTTCCATTTTTTCCCTTTTTAATCCCATTTTTTTCCCTTTTTAATCCCAATTTTTCCCATTTTTTTCCCATTTTTTTTCCATTTAAATCCCAATTTTTCCCCTTTTTTCCCATTTTTTTCCATTTTTTTTCCATTTTTATTCCATTTTTTACCCCATTTTCCCCCTTTTTAATCCCATTTTTTTCCCATTTTTTTCCATTTTTTTTTCCTTTTTAATCCCATTTTTCCTTTTTTTTAATCCCATTTTTCCTTTTTTTAATCCCATTTTTCCTTTTATTCCCATTTTTCCTCATTTTTAATCCCATTTTTTTCCTTTTTTATCCCAAATTTTCCATTTTTTTAATCCCATTTTTCCTCATTTTTAATCCAAATTTTTCCCATTTTTTTCCCTTTTTTTTCCATTTTTTTTCCTTTTTATTCCCAATTTTTTCCCCTTTTAATCCCATTTTTTTTCCTTTTTAATCCCATTTTTTTTCCTTTTTAATCCCATTTTTTTCCCTTTTTAATCCAAATTTTTCCCATTTTTTTCCATTTTTTTTCCTCTTTAATCCCATTTTTTCTTCATCTTATTCCCAATTTTTCCTCTTTTTTAATCCCAATTTTTTTTCCTTTTTATTCCCATTTTTTTCCTTTTTAATCCAAATTTTTCCTCTTTTTTTATTCCCATTTTTTCCCTTTTTAATCCCATTTTTATCCCATTTTTAATCCAATTTTTATCTCCTTTTTTATCCCATTTTTCCTCTTTTTAATCCCATTTTTTCCCTTTTTAATCCAATTTTTTTCCCTTTTTAACCCAAATTTTTCCCATTTTTTTTCCATTTTTTTTCCTTTTTATTCCCATTTTTTTTCCTTTTTTAATCCCATTTTTTTACTTTTTAATCCCATTTTTTCTCCTTTTTTATCCCAATTTTTCCTCATTTTTAATCCCATTTTTTTCCTTTTTAATCCCATTTTTTCCATTTTTTTCCATTTTTTTTCCTTTTTAATCCCAATTTTTCCCCTTTTTAACCCCATTTTTTCCTCTTTTTTAATCCCATTTTTCCTCTTTTTTAATCCCATTTTTCCTCATTTTAATCCCATTTTTCCTATTTTTTAATCCCAGTTTTTTTCCTTTTTAATCCAAATTTTTCCAATTTTTTTTCCATTTTTTTTCCTTTTTAATCCAAATTTTTCCCTTTTTTTTCCATTTTTTTTCCTTTTTAATCCCATTTTTTTTCCTCATTTTTAATCCCATTTTTCCCCTTTTTAATTCAAATTTTTCCCATTTTTTTCCCAATTTTTTCCTCATTTTTAATCCCATTTTTTCCCCTTTTATTCCCATTTTTTCCAAATTTGTATTCCCATTTTTCCTCTTTTTTAATCCCATTTTTTCCCCTTTTTAATCCCATTTTTTCCTTTTATTCCCATTTTTTCCTCTTTTTTAATCCCATTTTTTTCCATTTTTAATCCCATTTTTTTCCTTTTTAATCCAAATTTTTCCCATTTTTTTTCCATTTTTTTCCTTTTTAATCCCTTTTTTTCCCTTTTTAATCCCATTTTTCCTCATTTTAATCCCAATTTTTTCCTCTTTTTTAATCCCAATTTTTTCCCTTTTTAATCCCAATTTTTTTCCCTTTTTAATCCCATTTTTTCCCCTCTTTTTTATCATTTTTTTCCTCATTTTTAATCCCATTTTTTTCCTCTTTATTCCCATTTTTTCCTCATTTTTAATCCCATTTTCCCCTTTTTAATCCCATTTTTTTCCCTTTTTAATCCTAATTTTTTCCCTCTTTATTCCCAAATTTTTTCCTCTTTTTTCATCCCATTTTTCCTAATTTTTAATCCCTTTTTTTTTCCTTTTTAATCCCATTTTTTTCCTCGTTTTTAATCCCATTTTTTCCCCTTTTTAATCCAAATTTTTTCCATTTTTTTCCCATTTTTTTCCTTTTTTAATCCAAATTTTTCCCTTTTTTTTCCATTTTTTTCCCTTTTTAATCCCATTTTTTTTCCTTTTTATTCCCATTTTTTTTCCTCTTTAATCCCATTTTTTCCTCATTTTTAATCCCATTTTTTTTCCATTTTAATCCCAATTTTCCTCATTTTTAATCCCATTTTTCCTCCTTTTTAATCTAAATTTTTTCCCTTTTTAATCCCATTTTTTCCCCTTTTATTCCCAATTTTTTCCCCTTTTATTCCCATTTTTTTTCCTTTTTAATCCCAATTTTTTTCCTTTTTATTCCCAATTTTTTTCCTTTTTAATCCCATTTTTTTTCCTTTTTATTCCCAATTTTTTTTCCTTTTTATTCCCAATTTTTTTTCCTTTTTAATCCAAATTTTTCCCATTTTTTTTCCATTTTTTTTCCATTTTTCCTCATTTTTAATCCCATTTTTTTCCCATTTTTTTTCCTTTTTAATCCCAATTTTTTTTCCTTTTTATTCCCAAATTTTTTCCTGGAAAAAAATCCAAAATTCCCAAATTTTTTCCCACCTGAATGTTGGAATCTCTGGAATACGACGAATACGATCCACGTTCCGATTTACCTGAAAAAAACGGGAAAAATCCAATTAAAATTTGGGAAAAATTGGAATTTTTCATGGAATTTTTCATGGAATTTTGGGGATAAAAATGGGATTTTTTGGGAATAAAAAATGGGATTTTTTTTGGGTGAAAATTGGATTTTTTTGGGACGAAAAATGGGATTTTTTGGGTGGAAAATGGGATTTTTTTGGGGATAAAAATCTGATTTTTGGGGGTGAAAAATGGGATTTTTTGGGGAATAAAAATTGGGATTTTTTGGGATAAAAAATGGGATTTTTTGGGGTGAAAAATGGGATTTTTTTGGGATGAAAAATGGGATTTTTTGGGTGGAAAATGGGATTTTTTGGTGTGAAAAATGGGATTTTTTTTGGGTGAAAAATGGGATTTTTTGGGATAAAAATGGGATTTTGGGATTTTTTTCAGGATTTTTGGGATGGTTTTATGGGATTTTGGGATTTTGGGATGGTTTTATGGGATTTTGGGATGGAAATCAGATTTTGGGGATGAAAAATGGGATTTTTGGGATTTTTTTCAGGATTTTGGGATGGTTTTATTGGGATTTTGGGGATGAAAATCTGATTTTTTGGATTTTTTTCAGGATTTTGGGGTGAAAAATGGGATTTTTGGGATTTTATTCAGGATTTTTGGGGATGAAAATCAGATTTTGGGATTTTGGGATTTTTGGGAATAGAAAATGGGATTTTGGGGATAAAAATCAGATTTTGGGATTTTGGGATTTATGGGAATAGAAAATGGGATTTTGGGGATAAAAAATGGGATTTTGGGATTTTGGGGATGAAAAATGGGATTTTGGGATTTTTTCAGGATTTTGGGAATGGAAAATGGAATTTTGGGATTTTTGGGAATGGAAAATGGGATTTTGGGGATAAAAATCAGATTTTTGGGATTTTTTTCAGGATTTTGGGATTTTTTTCAGGATTTTGGGATTTTTTATAGGATTTTTGGGATGGAAATCAGATTTTTGGGATTTTTTTCAGGATTTTGGGGATGAAAATCAGATTTTTGGGGTGATTTTATGGGATTTTGGGATGAAAAATGGGATTTTGGGATTTTTTTTCAGGATTTTGGGATTTTTTTTCAGGATTTTGGGATTTTTTTTCAGGATTTTTGGGATGAAAATCAGATTTTTGGGGATGGGAAATGGGATTTTGGGATTTTGGGATTTCTGGGAATGGAAATGGGATTTTGGGGATAAAAAATCTGATTTTTTGGGATTTTTTCAGGATTTTGGGATTTTTTTCAGGATTTTGGGGTTGGAAAATGGGATTTTTTGGGGTGAAAAATGAGATTTTTGGGATTTTGGGAATTTGGGATGGTTTTATGGGATTTTGGGGATGGAAATCAGATTTTTGGGATTTTTTTCAGGATTTTGGGATGGAAAATGGGATTTTGGGGATGAAAATCATATTTTTGGGATTTTGGGTTTTTGGGGATGGAAAATGGGATTTTTGGGGTGCAAAATGGGATTTTTGGGGATGTAAATCAAATTTTTGGGATTTTTTTCAGGATTTTGGGAATGGTTTAATAGGATTTTGGGGATGAAAAATGGGATTTTTGGGGATGGAAAATCTGATTTTTTGGGATGGTTTTATAGGATTTTGGGGATGAAAAATGGGATTTTGGGATTTTGGGATTTTTGGGAATGAAAAATGGAATTTTTGGGATTTTTTTCAGGATTTTGGGGATGGAAATCAGATTTTTGGGATGAAAAATGGGAATTTGGGGATTTTTTTTAGGATTTTGGGGATGAAAAATGGGATTTTTTGGGGTGAAAAATGGGATTTTTTGGGGATGAAAAATGGAATTTTTTGGGGATGAAAAATGGGATTTTTTGGGATTTTTTTCAGGATTTTGGGGACGAAAAATGGGATTTTGGGATGAAAAATGGCATTTTTAGGATAATTTCACAGCATTTTACACTTTCCACCTGAAAATTCCCTTTCCCCACCCCCACCCCAAAATAATTAAATTTTTTTTTAATAATTTTCAACCATTTCCCGACATTTTTAACCCCAAAAAACAACAAAATTTTCCCATAAAAATTAATCAGAATTTCCTTTATCACAGTTTTAATTTCAGTTGTTATAAAAATAATTTATAATTATATCAAAATAAAACCCCCAATAAATTATAAGTTGTCAAAAAGGGATTTAAATGGGATTTTGTTGGGATGTGGGGGAGGAAATTCGGGAATAATTAATTAAAAAAAAATGGAATTAATTAATTAATTTCAGCGTTTCCATGACATCAATGGGCACTCGGCCAATGGTGCTGTCGGAGGGAGGTGGAATTGATTTTTTAATTAATTAATTGGGTTGTTTTGGGGGGGATTTAAGGGTGGATTAATAAAAAAAAATAAAATTAAAGAAACCAAAAAAATCGCAATAAAACCTAAGAAAAGCCCAAAAAAACCCCACAAAAAACCCAAAAAACCCCCAAAAACACCTAAAAAATAAAAAAATCCCCCAAAAAACCCCAAATAAAACAAAAAAAATAAAAAAAAACAAAAAAAAAACCCAAATAAAACCCAAATAAAACTCCAATTAACCCAAAAAAACCCAAAAAACCCCAAAAAATAAAAAAACAAAAAAAAACCCAAAAACCCACAAAAACCACAAAAAACCTCAAATAAAACCCAAAAAACCCCTAAAAAAAACCCCGAAAAATAAAAAAAACCAAAAAACACAAAATAACCCAAATAAACCCCAAATAAAACCCACAAAAAAACCCAAAAAAACCACAAAAAAACCCACAAAAAAACACCAAAAACACACAAAAAAACCTCAAAAAAACCACCAAAAACACCACAAAAAAACCCAAAAAAACCCCAAATAAACAAAAAACCCAAAAAAACCTAAAAAACCCCCAAAATAACCCCAAATAAAATCCCAAAAAAACCCTAAAAAAACCCCAAAAAAATCCAAATAAACACCCAAAAAACCACAAAAAAAAACCAAATAAAACCCAAAAAAACCCAAATAAACCCCAAAAAACCCCAAATAACACCCAAATAAAACCCACAAAAAAACCACAAAAAAACCACAAAAAAACCACCAAAAAACCCACAAAAAAACCCAAATAAAACCCCAAAAAATCCAAATAAAAACCTAAAAAAAAAAAAAACCCAAATAAAAAACCAAATAAACCGCAATAAAACCCCAAAATAAAACCCAAATAAAACCCCACAAAAAAACCCAAAAAAACTCAAATAAAACCCCAAAAAAACCCAAATAAAACCCAAAAAAACGAGACGAAAAGAGGAAAAAAAAAACCCCAAAAAAATCCAAAATAACCCGAAATAAAACCCCAAATAAAACCCCAAAAAACCCAAATAAAACCCCAAATAAAACCCCAAATAAAACCCACAAAAAATCAAAAAACACACCAAAAAATAAAAAAAAACACCCCCAAAAAAACCCCAAATAAAACCCCAAAAAACCCCCACAAAAATCCCACAAAAACCACAAAAAAAACCCAAACAAAAACCCCAAATAAACCCCAAATAAAACGCAAATAAAACCTAAAAAAACCCAAAAATATTCCAGATAAAACCCAAATAAAACACAAAAAAAACCACAAAAAATAAAAAAAACCTAAAAAAATAAAAAAAAATCCAAATAAAACCCCTAATAAAACCCAAAAAACCCCCAAATAAAACCCAAATAAAACCCCAAAAAATCCAAATAAAAACCTAAAAAAATAAAAAAAAAAATTAAAAAAACCCAAATAAAACCCAAATAAAAACCTAAAAAAATCCCCAAAAAATCCAAAAAAAACCCCAAATAAACCCCAAATAATCCCCCCAAAAAAACCCCAAAAAACCACAAAAAAACTCCAAAAAACCGAAAAAAGACCCAAAGAAATAAAATAAACACAAAAAACCCCCAAAAAAACCTTAAAAAAATCCCAAAAAACCCCACAAAAAACCCCAAATAAACCCCAAATAAACCCCCAATAAAACCCCAAATAAAACCCCAAAAAACCCCAAAAACCCAAATAAAACCCCAAAAAAACGAGAAGAAAAGAGGAAAAAAAAAAAAACGGCTCCACTGCGGAATTTCGGATCCTGCGGCAAAAACGCTGCGGAGAATTTTTGGCACAAATTCAACAACGACGGTGCCAACCCCCCCCTCGCCCAAAAAATGCCATTTTTCACCCAAAAAATGCCATTTTTCACCCAAAAAATGCCCTTTTTGACCAAAAAATGCCATTTTTATGCCCCCTTTGCCCAAAAAATGCTATTTTTGAGCAAAAAAATGCCCTTTTTGTCCAAAAAATGCCACTTTTCCCGAAAAAATGCCACTATTCACCTAAAAAATGCCATTTTTACTCAAAAAATGCCATTTTTGCCCAAAAAAAATCCCCTTTATGTCCACTTTTGCCCAAAAATTGCCATTTTTATACCTCCTTTGCCAAAAAAATGCCATTTTTGCCCAAAAAAATACATTTTCTTACCAAAAACTGCAACTTTTACGCTCCCTTTGCCCAAAAAATGCCATTTTTGCTCAAAAAATGACATTTTAACCCAAAAAATGCCATTTTTGCCCAAAAAAAATCCCCTTTATGCCATTTTTGCCCAAAAAATGCCATTTTTGCCCAAAAAATGCCATTTTTCCCTAAAAATGCCATTTTTGCCCCCTTTGCAAAAAAAATGCTATTTTTGTTTAAAAAAATGCCCTTTTTGCCCAAAAAATGCCATTTTTGCCCAAAAAATACCCCCTTTACACCACTTTTGCCCAAAAAATGCCACTTTAGCCCCCAAAAAATGCCACATTTAACCAAAAATTACTAATTTTCTATCAAAAAATGTCCCTTTTGCCCAAAAAATGCCATTTTTGCCCTAAAAATGCCATTTTTACCCCAAAATATACCCCTTTTATATCCCATTTGCCCAAAAAATGCCATTTTTGCCCAAAAAATGCCACTTTTACCCAAAAAATGCCATTTTTGCCCAAAAAATGCCACTTTATACCCCCTTTTG